GGTGACTCTCTTTACCTGGAATGACTCCCATCACCCAACATGCATATGTGTCTTTCCTTTGCCCCCTTTTGGTCTCTTGACATCATCTCCCATTCTCTCCTCCTTTTCTTGAGTCTCTAAGAAGGAGAAGATGGTCTTTCTCCTTGCCAAGGCCACCCCCCCCCATAAGTGTCCGTCATCCCATTCCTTCCCCTCTTCTCTAGAAGACTGCAACTTTAGGAAGCCCCTCCCTCAGTCAAATGTTCAACCTGTTCCTGTCAATGGCTTCCTTTCCTACTGTCTTCAAACATGCTTGGGTCTCCCCCATCACCCCCCCAAAAAACCCTTCAGTGGATGTTACTAACTTCTCCAGCTAGGGTCCTATATCTCTCTTCCCTTTATTAGCCAAGTTCCTCGAAAGAGCTGTCTGCATTCGCTGTCTCCATTTCCTGTCTTCTCACTCCTTAGCCCCTTGTAGTCTGCCTTCCACCTTTGAAACTGAAGCTGCTATTCCCCAGGTTACCAATGACTGCTTACTGATGCTGGTGATCTTTGCTCAGTCCTCCTCCTCCTGGACGTTTCTGCTGCATTTTACACCGCTGATCGCCTTCTTCTCCTGGGTATGTTTTCCTCTTCGGATTTTCACAGCACTGCTCTTTCCTGGTTCACTTTCTGTCTGACCATTCTTTGCCAACTGATCATCCCTATCATGCCCCCCTAGGCGCAGATGTTCTCTGAAGGTCTGTCCTTGCCCCTCCTCCTCCTCCTCTCCCTCCCCATAACCCTCCCTTAACCTTCTCCCCTTCATACACACACACACACACACACACACACACACACACACACACCCTCAGTTCCTATGTGTGTTTCACTATTATTTCTGTACTGATGACTCCCAGATCTGTCTATCCAGTCTCAATCTCTCCACAGAACTTGGCCCTACATTACCAATAGTCCATTGGATATTTCAAACTGGATGTCCCAGAGACGTCTTGAACTCATTTTGTCCAAAACTGAATTCACCTCTCCCCCCTGCCTCCCAAGCCGTTACACATCTGGATTCTTATCGAGGGTGCCAGCCTCCTTCCAGCCCCCCAGAATCATAATCTTTGTGTTATCCTCAAGTCTTCACGTGCTCTCCCCCAGAGCCAATCAGTGTCTCTATCTTGTTGCCATACACAAAGCTTCCATCATGGTTCAGGCCATCATCACCATTGCTGATAACCTTGGAGACAGCATTTCATGTGAGTGAGGAAGTCAGAAGCCAGATGGCATAGGATTGAGAAGGAGAAGTCTGTCTGAGAAAGGGAAGAGAGATGTAGACTGGCAGCATGAGGGGATAGGAGTGTCTAGTGAAGGTTTTGGAATGGATCAAGGAAACTCGGGCATGTGTGAAGGTATAGGAAGGACCCAGTAGATGGGGAGAGGGTGTTGATGATTGAGGTGGGAGGGTGTTAGAGAAGAGACGGGGAATAGGACAGGATTAAGGGCACACATGGAGAGGTGTTGGCCTTGGCAAACCTTATGGACAGACAGTGGGAGATGATGTCGGGGGCAGAGGTTGAGAGAAGGGAGAAAATAGCCAACAAATGATCTCTGTCTTCTCAGTAATGTGTGAGGCGAGGTCCTCAGCTAAGCCTGGGGGAGGGAGAGCAGTTTGTGAATAGCTATTATGTGGAGTCACATTTGTTGAGCTAGAGACCTAAGGCTCCTCTCTCCCCTCAAGTGCCTCCGGTCCCTCTACTGTGCTCCAAACAGGGAGTGGTTCCTCTTTTCTCCGGTGTTCCTGAGTTTCCTCTCCTCTGTGCCCCAGAAGCAGCCTGCAGCCCCTCTGGGCCTGGGACTGCCTGCATGGGCTGCTGAGGAAGAAGCTGACTTTTCTTCAGTGGGTGCTCTTTGAATGAGGGGCCCTGACCTGGGTCAGGCTGGTTCACAGGGACAGAAGCCAAGGCTCTCCAGCTCAGTGGAGTCTGCCAGTGCTCTGCTTGGCTGCTGCTGGCATGAGCTCTGAGAGCCTGGCTAGGACCCCTACAGACCCTAAGGAAAATGGAAGAAGCCCTCTGCACCTGACCATACAGAAAAGCCCATCACCGAACCCTTTGGGGTGGCCTGAGGTGGCCCTTTGGTTAGCCCCACATCGGCCATGTCTGGAAACACTTGGGCAGAAGGAACATCTGGGACATCCACAGTGGACCGGATCAGCCTGTGGTAGGCGGTGCTGACTACCTGCACCAGCCGCCTCCTGGGCCAAGACTTGGGATCGGCCCCTTCCGCTACTTTTACATTGAACTTTCATGCTGAAGACCCAGACCTCTCTGCAATCCTAAGCCTGGTTCAATGCTCCCGGGATGGCCCCTGGCAAGCTTGCCCACCCTCTTTCACCCAGTGGCAGTCCACCTCCTTCTCAGTGCCCTCTCTCCAGGCTTCTGATAGGCTACAGGAAAAGCACATCCTGGAGAAAGGAGGGATGGAGCCCAGCTGAGCTTCTCAACTGTCTGTCCCTGGTGGGGAGAAATCAAGCCACTGTGGGCTTGATGTGACGGAACCCCCTCATGCCAGCCTTGTTCCTTTCCAAGGAAGATGCATTCAGCCCAATCTGGGCAGCCGGTCTGCCTTGGCACAGAAATCCCTCTGCACCAGCCTGGTGGAGATGCTTCCTAGCCCTGCGTGAGGGTGATGAAGGACGGCAGCAAGGAGCTGCTGCGGCATGCAGAGAACTCAGCCTTTCCCTGGGGGAGCCAGCAGGCCGAGGAGCTCGTGGGGGCATCCTCAAGGGCACCTACTCCCCGGCCAGCAACCCCGGCCTTACCTCAGCTCTGCTTCACACTGGCATTCCTGCACATATGACGCCGAGGCCGCCTCTCCTCCCGGATGCTCCCTTGGTGCTCCTCACTGGCTGCTCACCCCCATCTGCCTCCACTGGTCCTTCCTCTATTCCTCTCTTTCTCTGTCCATCTGCCGGCCTCCCTCACAGCCCTTGTCACCCTAAGCACCAGGCCCACATCTCTAGCCACTTGCTGGGTGTCTGAACCTCCTGCCAGTCTCTCAAGCTTGGCCCAACAAAAATGGGACTCTGCCCAGCTCCCACCTTCCCCAGCCTCTCCATCTTCCTATTTCCCAGGCTAAGCAATAGGGGTTGAACTGAATGGAGATGTTGGAATCATCTCAGCAGTCCTCTGACCTCAGATGTCAGCTGACAGATGGGGAAACTAAGGAAGTCCAGAGATGTGAGTGACCTGCCCAAACTCCTACAGGTAGTGGTAAATAGCAAAGCTGGATTGGAACCCAGGGCCCCAGGCTGCTACCTTTCACTTGTCCCGTTCCTTTCTGTCTTCTCTACCCCCAGGTCCAGGCAGAGATTCAATTCTGTCCATTTCACATAGGAGCTCTCCTGCTATCTGCCTCTTCCTCTCCCCTGGCTCCCCACCAGTCCAGGCCCTCACCTCTCCTCCCCAGCCACGGCCCTCACCTCCAGGTGATGTCTCTGCCCCAGTCTCTCCCCTCCCCAATCTGCCGAATCATCTGTCCAGCTCAGACCTCCCCGTCACCTCTAAGACAAAACATTCACCCGCCCCCTCTCCCCTGAGTCCCCAACCTCCTTTTCCTGATTATCTCCATTCACTCCTCCCACAGCTGTTTGTTGCCCTGGTACTGGCCTCCCTCACCTCCAAGCATGCACCTAGGCGGGGTCCTTCTCCTCATCCACCATCTCCAGCTCTGCCTTTACAATTCCTGCTCAGGTCCCCCCTCTGCCTGGGAGGCTTCTCTGGGTATCCCTCCTGCCTCCGCCCTGACCTAGAGGATGCTCCCTTTGAGCTTTCTGCTTATCTGGATCTATGCCAACGGAGCATTGGGGTGCCTCCTTCCCAGTAGATTGTAAGCTCGCTGGGCACAAGGCCTGGGTGGGGCATGGCACCTGGAGCAGCAGCAGGGCTGGGGAAGGGGCCCTGAAGCTGCCCTGGCACACTCCCTCCCTCCTTCCTGCAGTCCTTCTGGCCTCAATGAAGTGGCCTATCAGGCCCTGTGGCCAGAAGCTCCCCAGGACACTGACTACTCGGGCCAAGAGTGTTGAAACAGGCACTCAAGCTCTGAGGACTGGTCCCAGCCTCAGAGGGCCTTAGTCAGCATGGCAGCAGATGAGGCCCCTGGATCCAGCCCGAATCATGCCCACTCTACAGACGAGGAAACTGAGGCTCAGGAGGCTTTGGAGTGGGGAAAGGAATTATCCTGGGCTCTGCAAAGGCGGAATGCTGAGAGGTGAGCTAGAAGGAGCCCAGAGCTGTAGTTGGAGTGGACGGGCTGCTCTGCTCTTCCCTGGGTGACCTTGAAGAAGTCCCGTCTAGGTTCTGAGCTTCCTCCGTTTTGCTATCTGTAAAATGGGGGGCTTGGCCCAGGTGACCTCCAGGGGCCCCTTGGGGACGCCGGCCTTGGAGGGCGGGGCGGAGCGGGGGAGCATCCAGCGGCCCCAGGAGGGAGAGGGGGCAGGGCTGCCCGGGCGGAAGCTGCCCACGAGTAGGCGGGCGGGCGGGCGGTGTAGGAAGCGCAGCTGGCCTGGGGGGAGGGGGGCCTGCTGGAGGGGGAGACGGGGTGGGGGTGGTTAGAGGGGAAGGGGAGGATACTGCCCTGCTCCCCCTGGGGGACCCGATGCAAATGAGGCGCCCAGAACCACCAATGGAAGGCCAAGGCGGGGCCCCGGGGCGGTCCCCCTGGGATGGAGGGGGCGGGCAGAGGGCGGTGCTACGAGTCCCGGCCGGCGGGCTGGGCCGTCCCCCTCCCCCGTAGCGGGTCTCTCTCCCTCTCCCTCTCCCCTCCCTGTCCGCGGCTCAGCCCGGGACGGCCCCCCGCCCCGCGCCTCCCCGAGCTCAGTGGGGCGGGCGCACACCCCACCCTCGGCTCAGCCCCCCACCCCGAGCCAGGCCGGTTCCTCGGCTCAGGCCGCCCGCGGGCCAAGTTCCTGGGAGGCTGCACCTCGCGGGGCTCCAGGGCCGGTCGTGCCAGCCTGCGTGCGCCCCTGGCGAGCCATGGAGGCCGCCCACCTGCAGCCAGCCGCCGCGGTGCTGCGGCGCTTCTCGGTGCAGGAGAGCTGCGGGCTGAGCCCCGAGCAGGTCCGCTGCAGCCGCCAGAAGTACGGGCTCAATGGTGAGTGCGTGCGTGAGTACGCCGCCGGCACCCCTGGACCCCCACCCCCGGCCCGCGGCACAGCGCAGACTCCTGGGCAAGGGGCCGCGCGCCGGGGTGGGAGGGGAGGCGTGGGTGGGGGGGCTGTTCTCTGCATCCCTGGCTCCCCACTCGCGGCTCGAATAGCAGCAGGCTGGGGAAGGGGCTGCGAGCTTGGCAGGGGTCTCCCGTCGGGGCTGGGATGTAGAGTCAGCCCACGGTGCCCAAGTCCTTCGTTGTTGCATAAATGAGGAAACTGAGGAAGCCTGGAAACGTGCAAGGTCTTGCCCAGGCTCCCAGCGCCAGGAGGGATGAGAACCCGGGGCTGGGGTTGGGGCTGTGGCGGCGGCAAGGCTCTCGGCTGAGGCCACCCCCGCCTTCGGGGGCCCCACACCCAGGCGGGGGGGGGGGCGGAAATGAGGCCCCAGGCGCTTCTGCGGCAGTTCCCGAGGCTCCTGTACCCGGAGAAGAGCGTGTGGGTGTCCGGGGGCGGGGCGCTCCAGGAGTCGGTAGTGAGACCGCCGGCTGCCTTTGCTGGGTAGGGGTTGCAATGGGGGCTTGGGGTTCACATGCTGCCTTGGCTTCTTCTCGGCCGGGGGACCATGGCCGGCTCCCTGCCCAGCTGGGGCTTCAGTTTCTTCCTCGGTAAACTGAGGCTCCTTCTGACCTGAGGCCGAAATAGAGTTTGGATGGGTAGCCTAGGCAACGCTGGACCTGGGAGCCAGCACCCCCTTCCCCTCCTCTGGTGCGCACCCCGCCTCTCTCCTGGGCTCCCTCAGGGCTGCAGCCCGCTGCCCCCTGAGGACCGAGACCGGCCCTGGCCGTGGCACAGGAGGCGGGCAGGGAAAGGGCCCTGGCTGTCAGTATGGGTTTCGGCATCGACTGACTCTAGGACCCAGAGCTGTTACTGCTTCCGTCTAACCGGGGAACTGAGAGCCGGAAGGGGCCTTAGAAAGTCACCTAGCTCTGCTCCCTCCTTGTGCAGAGGTAGATGCGAGGCCCCGACAGGGGAGGGAGCTGGGCAAGTCCGTGGTGGAGCTGGCCCCAGAACCCAGGCCTTCTGCCTCGCATTGCTTCCTTGGCCAGCGCTAGCCTCAGTTTCCTCATCTGTAAGGCTCAGCGAAGCAAAAGGGTAGCCCTGCTTATCTTCCCAGGGCCCCTGAGTGACATCCCCTGAGGGAGTCCATGGGAAAGCCCCGAGCTGCTCAGGCCTCAGGCTCTGTGTACACACACTCACTCGCTGTTTCACACACACACACACACAACACACACACGCACGCACACAACACACACAACACACACACACTCTCAAACACATTTACGCACACACTCACACACTCACTCTGTGTGGACTTAGTAGGTGTTTCCCATTTACAGAGAGCTGGACATCTGTTGGCTCCTTGTAGCACCCAGCAACCCCGGGAGGGGGGCCCAGAGACCTGCTGGAGCTCGGACTACAGGGGCTTGAACCCGAGCCGGTTCACCTCTCCAGAAGCACCTCTTCCTGTCCCGCCTCACTTTGAATGACTCAGTGGAGGTGGGGGAGAGGGCGAAGAGGGTTTTCTCCCCTGCTGTCTGTCCCAGGCCCGCGATCCAGGATCCCCAAGGACACCCTGGGGATAAGCCAGGAGTACAGTCACCGCTTCCTCCCCCCACCCCAGGATTTCAATTCAAAGTGATGTTCTTGGACAGGCTCTCATTGGGTGGTGGGCCTGTGACCTCACGAAGGTCAGGGCCAATCAGAGCCAGGCTCCAGTTCATCTGTTCCCACCTGGTGCTCTCCTGGAGCCTGCTTCAAAGGCAGAAGTGGGTTCTCCTGCCTGCCTCATCTTCCTGCCCTTGGAAGGTCAGCCTTAAGTCTGGCCCTGTGGGGGAATCATTCCATCATCCTGACTTGAGCTCTTAGTTCCCTGAAGCTGTCCTGTCAGCGCCTCCAGGAAGCTGGCTGGCTTTGTGAGTGAGCAGCAGGTTTGTGGGGCGAGACAGTCATGCCTAGTGATCCGTCGGTGTGACCCTGGCCCAGTCACTTTTCTTCCCAAGTCTCAGTTTTCCTCTCTGTCAAATGGGGACAAGAAGGCTTGCCCTGCCTGCCTCACCAACCTTGCCATGTGTCAGGGCAGGGAGCTTTATTGTTCCTCCCTCCACTGCCCAGTGCTGCGGAGCAGAGCCCACCTTCCTGGTGCAGGCTGGCTGCCCGAGGCTCTGCAGGTCACTCCTCCCTGCACCCAGGGCCGGCCTGTCTGCAGCCCTGCAGAGCGCGGCTGTTCTCCACAGCTGTCAAGTGTAGGTTTGGGGTTTCTATTTGTTTATTCAAGCTGTCACTGGTGTAAACATTATCTTTCCGGGGCAGAAGATTGCCTTTTTTTTTTTTTTTTTTTTGAGTTCCTATATTTAGTTAACTTGTGGGAGGAGCTGGAGAGATAAATAAGATGTTTGAATATCCCCCTTGGTAGGCTGGCCAGAACCTGAGGGTGTGAAGTGATTGGTGAGGAGAGAGCTTGCACTCAGCCCTGCACTTGTCAGAAGGGGTAGGAGCCTGGAGGCCCCACCAGCTGGGGCAGCTTTATCTGGTACCCAGAGCCTTAGGGAGGCTGCTTGAGGCAAAAGTTCTTCAAACTGAGGGGTGAGAGGCCTGTAGAGTCCTAGAAAAATTCTCCTTTAGCCTCAGTTTCCTCATCTGTAAAATGCCCTGCCTGTCTTCTGGGCTTGGTGTAGGGGGGCAGGGGAGGACTCTAAGTGAGAGCTGACCGACATGGGTGCTTGGCCTCCCCCCATGACACCCGATGCCCTTCTAAGTAGCCTCAGGGTACAGGGACCCTGGCTTCCCAAAGGCTTGGCCAGCAGAGCCCAAGCATTCCCAGCCTCTCCAGCCTCCATCTAGGGCCAGTGGTTTTGTTTTGGTTGCAGTGATCCCTGGGGGGTCCATGATGGGTGGGAGCAGAGGTGCAGTAAATGTGAGGGGGTGCTACCTGGGTTCTGGTCCAAGGCCTAAGGGTGGCTGTGTGACTGGGAGCGGGATTGTCCCGGCCTATATCCCTTGCCTTATTCCTGAGTATGTTTTTTCTCCAGTGGGTATGTGGCATCTGGGGGGGGGGAAGGCAAGTGCTGACTCACTTGCTTTTCCGTGCTTGGGCGCAGGTTGCTGGAGTGGGGTCCAAGCCTCACCGCCCCCAGCCCTCTGTGTGTACAGCCTGGAACAGAGGGCCAGTGGGCGGGTGAAATGCTGCCCTTCCACTTGTTTGGGGGAGGGACTCGCCCAGCTGGTGCCTCTCTCCCCCAGGCCTTGGCAGCTGGGGCCTGAGTATGGCCTGGACCTGGAACTCAGACCCTCAGGATGGGCTGTCAGGGATTCCGGAGCTCAGACTCCGGAAATGTGCTCCTTTCCCAGCAGGGCTGGCCTTCAACGTCTTGGAAGGGAGTGATGGTCAGCCGGCTTCTGACTTCTGTTGGTGAGCAGAGGCTCCAGGCTTGTGTGTGTGGTCAGTGGAGGGACAGAAGGCAGAGGCAGTGGGGAATAGTGGAAAAGGGGCTGTCTCTGGAGACATAGGCCCCGAGTTCAAATTCTGACCCTGCTATTTCCTACTCAAACGACCTTGGACAAGTCTCCTCGCCCCCAGAGGTCTCAACTTTCCTTTCTGTAAAATGGGTTATTGGACTCATTCTCTAAGGTCCCTTCCCGTTCTAGACCCAGGCCCTCTAATTGTGTGTGTGTGTGTGTGTGTGTGTGTGTGTGTGTCCAGCTGAGGGCTGACTGCGGTTGGTGGGGGAGAGGACCTAGAAATGGTCAGCTCCAGCAGTGCAGTACAACAGTTCCACCCTGTCTCAATCACAGTTTTCCCCAGTATTTGCGTCCAAAGCATCCATGTTTAGGGGGCAGTACCAAGAACGCAGAAAGTGCCCAGGACCAGGGTTCCATTCCAGGCTCTGCCATGTAGATCCTCCCTGGGGACCTTGGACAGGGCCCTTCCAGTTCTAGATTGAAGGCCAAAGGGGGAGGGGGCCACTGGTTGTGGATGTGGCTGTGGGGTCTTGGCCCAGTCATCTGCTCAGCTTCAATGACTGTTAAGGTCACTGCTACCGCATGACTGCTAAGGGCCAGCTGACAGCTACGGATATCATATCGCTTTTTGGGTATTTGGTGGGGGAAATGAGGGAGGGCGGGCAGGAGGATGTCGGCTTCCTCTTCTGAAGAAGCTGGACATGCAGGCAGGTTGGGCCTGGGGCCTCTTATCAGCATTCAGTGGATGAAGGAATGCCCATCTTCCCCCTGCCCCCAGCAGAAGCGCACAAGCCTCAGGGCTGTGTCCTGATGCCCTTGGGGCCATGAGAGGGGGACTCTGGCTCACCTGCCAGCCCCCCTAATCTCCCGGCTGGAGCCCCACCTTCTCCACCCTCGGTGCATCTGTTCAGGGCTGATTCATCGGCCTGCTGGCTTCTCTCTTCCCTGCCTAGCATGCCAGGGGCTGGGGGTGGGGTTTGTCTTTAGATCTGGTCTCAAAGCAAATATAGCCTCAGGAAAGTCCGTGAGGCCAGAGCCTGGAGCGCACGGCCCAGGACCTTGTGGATCTGACTCAAGGAGGTTTGGTACCCACAGCGAATGGAAAAGTGATGGCAGACGAAAGACGTTCCCTTTTCCTACCATCCCATCAGTCGATTCCGCAAACCTGCCATGCCTGCTGTGTTCTAGGGGAGGTTGGGGAATGGATGGATGCACACGGAAAGCCAAGAATAGTCCCTGCCTTCAGGGAGCTCATCTCCTCCCGGGGAGATGAGAACCAGAGTAATAAGGAGTACTTTGTTGTAGAAGTAGTCACTGCTGCCTCTGCGTCTTCGTGGCGTGTCCGTGGCCCTGAGATCTCAGCTGGCTCTGTGCTCCTCGAGGCCTCTTCTCCCAGTAACCCTTGGGGGGCAGATGTTATCACCCCTCTTTTACAGACAAGAAAATCGAGGGCCCAGGCTATTCGTGGAGCCAGGACACTGGC